GTTCTATTGAACAAAGGAAAATTATTAAAAAACTGGTTTCAGTAAGGAAAACGTTTGCCTTTACATTGTGACAAAAGAGAACCCGGGTAAATAATATTTCAAACAATGTTTTTTGCTAAGTTGGTAGGAAAAAATCATTTTCATAATAAATATTGATGAATAATTAAATACTGCAAAATTGGACGCTAAAAGCTGAAAACGGGCGAAAGCACAAAAAACGTCGAATAAGCAGAATGCGCCCATCACACAAATCATTGAAAGGTGCCTGTTTGTTACTTCCAGACAGATAAGAAACTAATGCAATTGCCAATATCAACTTCAGCCAAAGGAAAAAGGTTGATCTCTGCTAACGTAAAGGCAGGAACGCGACTATCATTTTCAAAAAGTTTATACACGAATCTTTGTCAGTTTAGCAAAAGACTGATGAGGCAAAGATTATTCAATTAGACTCTGCTAAAAATTACTAGAAGTGTAATAAATGAATAATTAAATACGCCAGAGACATTAAATTTCCCCACCGAGAGGGTATGAGAGAACTTTATGTCACCTGTGTCCACATTTTAGTGAAATCTCATATCTCGAGACTCCCTCGTAAATGGAACCAAAACTGTTAAAGCCATTAGGTACTGGATATATAAACCCCAGTATCTATAGTTGATTTTTGACCTAAAATATCAGTCAATGTGTGAGATATACAATTCAGAGAGATTCAGAGAAGGTCTTTTCCTGATAGTAGTATGTCTGTGTGCTACGAATGGGATGAATCGGGTTAATACTTCTCTTAGCCCCCATATACCTAATGGTAGCCAATATAAAGGTCTTTGAACTTCCGGGTGACTTTATACCGCATATATGTATGTATATATATCGGCCAACACGTGACTTATCTTAATATAATTGAGAGAGCAAATTTTTCTTATTACGGTGCATATTTGAGTTTACAATGAATAAAATCGGGTGAAAACTCGCAAACAAACAAAGGATGTGCATAATTTTTTCATATATTGTATAATCGTACATACGGTATATAATTTAATTATTGCTGAGCGTAGTGAGTAACATAGCTCTACAATCCGGAACTCTGCAGTAATTTAATCCGAAAAAGATCTGATTTCGCTGACTCTGGCACCAACTAAATATACATATTTATGTTGTTATTTACATAAATATGAATTGAATGATTGTTGTAAATAAGGTGATGTATTTGAAATTTTATGTTTTGCAAAAGCAGAAAAAAGTATGAAGATCAAATCAATATTTATAGGCACATGCAAGCAAGTTTGGTCACACAATTTTGGAATTTTTAAATGAGACTATCCATTCTATCCGAAGTCTTAAGAGATCCGTCAAAACTATTTTTGGGTAAATAAAAAATTTGATTGGAAAGCGTAGTATTAGCTTCGTAAATATTAAGTATATTGTTTTCTTTTACAACTTCACTAAACTCGCACTTTGTTATGTTACCATCTTATGAGAGATGCGATTATACCAAGTCAGAAATCGCTATAATCAGGTATTTTGTGGTAAGTGTGGGCTGACTATTTAATTATTAAATTATGTTTTCCCACAGTCTTATTAACGTGAATCACACATTGACGGAACATAAAGTACCTACACCAGAATAACGCAAATCCTTACACTAAGTACCATACATGGTACTAGGGTAAATTGGCGCAATAATTTATTTCTATATCTCTTAAATGAACTGATATTATCAATAAAAAGTCAGAAACTTCGATACCAGAAGAGTTAAAAAGTTAAAGTCTGTTACAGTTCCACATTTGGGTGAGATTGAATTAGTAAGGTATAATTTAATTTGTGTTGTTTGGGAAAATTACGATCAAGCTCAATTTCAAACTGAGATATATGTAAATATCTAATGCTATGCACAAAATTTGGAAAAACAGGTGCTGCAGTGTGAGATTTCAAGTCAAAGTAAGCGTTTCCTTGCTCTGTGTCCAATTTTTATATTTACTTTTATTTTAGAGTTGCCATCATTACTGTGAAACTTTTCAACATAATCATGGTATGGGAGGTGGGCATGGTTATTATTGGAACGACCCGATAAGGCATAGCTTTGGTTACTAAACCGCAGATGGTTTGTAGTGTGACATTCTGTATAAAATAACAGTTTTATCTTGATTTGTAAGTTAATTAACGGTATTTTCTGGGCATGACTGGGAACTGATTTCGTTCATCTGTAATACCAACATGCTTCGAGCTTATTTCCGGTACTCACTTTCAGCAAGATAATACAATTTTTACTTAAGGTATTACTTGCATCGATGGACAGACAGACAGACAAACGAATGTCAAGTCGTCCTCTTTACCATTTTGCAATATTCAAAATATTAAAAAAGGATGAAACCAACATTTTGCAGCTATTTAAAAGCATTCGAAAAATTAGTAAAAAAGTGTTAAGTTCGTATTTAATCGAACCAATTAAGATCATATCGGGGAAATTCTTTAAAATGTTGAGAAAACAGCTGGAAAGTCGGAAATCATTATATCCCGTATATTGGAACCATCGGAAGATCTAACCTAATTTAATTTATTTACGAAATAATAGAATAGGGAAATTCATTGGAGCTAGAATACATATATCAGCGCGGGTATAGTGGTCCACAAAAATTTCGAAATATCACCGATTGTGAATATTAGCAGTTCTTTAGGAAGGGGACCAGACGCATACCTACCCAGTGATATAATTATTTCGTCAAAATTTTTTTAAGTTATTGAAAGTTGAAATTTAGAACATGATAAAATTGTAAAATCGATGAAATTTTGTGAAGTTAAAGAAAAATGCTCGTGCTATATTATAGATATTTTTTCACGACCCATTTGTTTAAATAATAATATTTTACATAATTTTTTGTTAAACAATTGAAATTTTTAGCGCATTCGGATAAAGGAAAGGAGCCTTCAAGAAATATTAGCTGAAAATGTATTGAAAACCAAAAACAAAAAATGTAATCCAATGTTTTGTAGGAAACTATAAATCAGAAATTTACAAAGACTTACGCAGCTAGCCTGCTCTAGAAGCTTAAAAAATATTTTGTTTTGCTTAAATCTAAAAAAACTAAACGTCATATGGAATTGGGGTAAAGTTTATTATCTTCTCTTTGAGCTAAAAAAATAAGAAAAGTCAAGTTTTAACATATTTTTAAACAGTTCTAGCAACACTCGTGAAAAATTTCAAATACGTTTTCTCAAAACTATTTTTTTTTAACCGGTGACCACTGTAAAAAAACGCGCTCGATAGATTTCAATTAAATTCAAACAGCTTTTGTTTTGAAAACATGAAAAACTAGAACCGGTTGGATGAATTTTTTATACATAATTAAGTGTGGGTTTTTTCCCCGAAAGTCTGACAAAAAATATTTAGGGACAGCCATTTTTGTTAATATATTTAGATCAGACACTAGATTATCTATTAATAAAAAAAAATTGTATCCAGATAGTCATGATCAGCGAAAAAAGCTTCTGTTAGAACTGAACAACCCAAACAACTATTACATGAAAATTATTATTTTTGGTTTAACATTTCTTTTTAGTCAAGTTAAAACCTTATTTAATGATGCCATGTTTTTACTTTTTACTTTTATAAAATAAAATAATTTACTAGCAAACAACCAACCGTGTTTAACGTAGGTACCTGCTGACGACAGCCTTACCCGACGGTACTCAAAAGTACAACGGATCAAATCAATGCGTTGATCAGCGCCCTGAAAATGTCAGGCATTTTCAGTACCAATTGGCAGTGTGGAATGAGCACACTAACCACCTTGATAGGGTTCGAGGCCCATCTCAAACCTCTGCCGTACTATGGGTCCGGCACCCGGTTGCAATGCAACTCCACATCGAACTGACAAAAATGTCAATTCTACCCGCAACTGGGTATAAACCATAACCACCACGATACACCCTGAGGGGTCAGTCCGTATGAGCAGGTTGGAGTTACCTCCAAGGGGTCCTGCTCCCCGTGGTACCAGAATTAAGTCTCCGGTCAGATTTCGTAGTCGAAACTAATACCAGTTGAGCTTTCATACTGCTCTGGACTGGTGGCCAGTTTTACTTGCAAACAGAAGTGATTTAAAATTGACGTCTCTGACTACACCGAACCCCTTAAACTACATACATATACTTTTATTTTATTGAACATAACGTCGCCAACACTTAAGTGAGAAATAAATATGTATAAAGTAAATAACCTTCGGTATTAAGACTATTTATTTTGCATTATTTAAAAATATTTAAATAAAATACGGTTACAGATATGACTTAGTGAAATATATGTATTTTTTCTAACACCTAAAATTAAAGGAAGATTGATGTGCCATTAATCCTATAGAGTTATATATACAAATACAAATGTTCAAGATGACGATATGAGTTGCATTTCGGATTTATGTATGTCCGTGCAAGCGAAAATATTTAATGCAAGCTCTCTGTCATTCTCAATCCTCCAAGAGATCCTTAAAAACTCCTAAGCCTAATTGATTTATTGAATTTATACTCCAAACATACAAATACGCTGCATAATTGAACGAAATAATTTGATTTTCTAAAATTTCATAATAATCAGTTCCAGTGAATATGATAAATAAGTATATATAAATGCATATGTTATACATACATATGTATGTGCGTGCACATATGCGAGTGCAATTATGCCACATTCATATAGGCATAGGAGTATATACAGCCTCCTACTTGGCGTAAAATGAGCTACCAATTGACTGTCGTACGAAAAAGCCGGTCGTAATTAAGTTCAAAAAAACTTCATCCAATATTCACGATTTTAGAACCTGTTACTCAATAATAATAATAATAACCTAACGATTAAACTAAAATAACAATAAACTAAAATAAAATAAAAACACAAAGAAGTTTAATATGTACATGCATACATACATATTTATTTTTTTTAAATATCGGTTATTAAATTATCTCCAAGTCATTGTTCATATATGCAATTTAAAACTATGTGTAATACTAACCATATTTGAAGTCAATATTCCATATCTGCTGTATACACTGTTTCAAGCACTACAATATTTTTATATATCTTTTTAAGTATTATCTTTTATCTCCAATCGCTTCAATTAACACCATATACTGTGAACAAATCTTCGATTTTCAACTTTAAAACATTTGTTTTATAAAATTATTTATTCACTAATTTGCTTCGGCTCCTTGTATATCATATACCACATTCGATAAAGGCATTTGGCACCTTAAGTTGTGTCTATGACTTTCATTCGTTGCCTTTCGCGCTGATGCTGGAGCGTCGGTTTTCATGCATCGTTTTTTCCGCTTTATGCTTTTTTACTCGTAATATTTCTTCATTTTTTAAATTCTTCACTACACTTGCAGTGATATTTCAGTGAGGACTCCAGTCCATTTTATTCACTGTACGCTGTACGCTTTGTGCACCTTTTTGTTTTTATTTTTTCACTATTTAACGACGTATGAACTCTGTCGTTATCACTACACTCCACATGGTACTCACACATGTATATACTCGTATAACGTAGTAGTAGCATTCAAATCAAGTAGTATATAAAATATTTAGGTATATGCAAACACCATGCATTCGCTCATCACTTCCTCATTGCACTTTCTCCCTCCACTCGTTTTTCTTACACGCTGACACATTGAATTGAGTAAATGTTGAAGGTGCGCAGACTCTCTCAAATTCTTCAACTTTTTTCTCTCAACCCTCTTTCATTGACACGATATGTTAGGATAATTACATATTATGTCAATAGCTGCGGATTCCCTTTCCGTTATCCCGTTCCAAGTTTTCTTCCGTTCGTTTATTTTCCAGGCACAACCGAACACAATCAGCTTCGAACAGCAACTGATTCTGCATTGTGGCGGGCAGTAAGAATTTTAATCAGGACGAAACACGTAAGTGGAGTTCATCTTAACGTTAGATGTACTTGGGTTCATCTGGTGGATGCTGTCTTATTTGAGTGAAATTTTATTCATAAAAAGCTCCACAACAAAGAGTGAACTGTTCATTTTATACCATTTTATTGTTATGATTTAAGTTTTTGTAGTCTGAAACTAAAATTATCACAGGGTACCAAAATTTTCCAATATCAGAAATTATAAATGCTATAAAACGTTTATTAATTTTCCGCCGAAGTCGCAAAAATCGTTTTTACTAAAGATTCATTACCAAATTATATAAATATAGTCAAAATATTAAAAATGTGGATGGTCCAAAACGACTTATGTACATGGAAAGGTGTATTAGGTTAGGTTATACCGGCCCTTTGTCATGCAATAGAACAACATAGACCAACTGGTTCCTACTTAAAAACTTTTTGCGGCTTTATATCCAATTTTGTTATATCGTCTACTGAATTGTGAATTGTGAAGACATCTAAGAAGAGTTTTAGAAAATTCTATACATCCAACTCGCATGTGATGCCAGTAAGTTGTTGCCTGTCATTAGGCCAACAACCATCCTAAAGTCCTTTCGAGACCGTGTGAGTAAAAGGCATGCGTGTTTTTCTTTGAGGCTTTTGTACATGCTTCAGAAATTTCAGCGAATTATGTATTTCCTGTAATGGATCCGTAGCAGGAGATAGCACTTTTGTCAATCTCATCAACCATTTCGTTTCCGGAATTATTTTTGGGGCATGAAACGATGGGAGATTATTATCTTATTTATCTTAATTCACTATCAACGAAGGCTTGAGATTAATTAATAAACAATAGATTCCGACGCTCATTCCAGTAGCCAGTTTTGATTCAGGGCTCTTGCCCCATAGCCCCTCTTTTAGTGTATCACCAAATAAAGGGTGTATTCGGTTTCAATTTGGAATGAAGTGCAGCCTTGAGAATCAAAGCATTTCAAGTTGAACGTATTTTTTACTGAGGATAAACTTTGGTAATAATATAAAGCCGATTTTGGTAATGATACGGAGGCCGCTAACTTTGCAAATTACCTCACATAAAAATATTATATGTACAGTGGACTCGCGATAATATGAACTAATTAAAAACAGCACTGTTAATTTTTGCGAGATTGTTCATATTTACGAAAGGTGCAAAATGAAAAAATGTAGTATTAAATTAATTTTTTTTTTATTTTAAACTTCAAAATAAACTTGTTTTATAAATTTTTTTCGTTACACAAGTAAAATTTTGTTGCATGTAAACAAAACTGTTTAGATATAATTTCATATTATACATATTTTAATTTTATAAAAAGTTCATTTTGGAAAAAAATCGGTAAACCTCTTTTGCTGTTTCTTTTGATCAACCACCTTAAAAACTGCTTTTTCCCGTAGGTTCTTTAATACATTTAATTCCTTATGTTCAATCAATTCACTTTCAGCCCATTCCAAAGCATTATTAAATATGTCAATAGCTTCTCTTGCTGTAATCGTCTTTTGCGAGTCTACAGTATAGTCGTCTTCGTCAGATATTTCTTGTATTTCAATTTCATTGAATTCAATAGCATCCTCGTTCCATTCTCTAATAAAACAAACCTCAGGTCTCAAGTTTTGTAAAAGATTGGCTGCGCTCTCCTCCAAGTCCCCCACATTCATATTCAAGTTCCTTCGCAGGATATTGAAAGGAATTTCATCTTCAGGATCTTCTTGGTTTTTAGGCATACTCAAAACATGTTTCCATTGTTTTGATATCACAGCCTCATCCACTTTTTCCATGCAGATTCAAGGCTAATAATAACGTCCTTAAGTGAAATTTGCTTCATAGACTCTAGCAAGTCACATCCTGTTGCAGCAACGGAAGCCAAATAAAGTTTTGTAATCCTGATTGCATATTGGTCCATGGGTTCTATAAGGGGGGTGACGTTGGGTGGCATAAACATTGCTAAAATGGAGCCGTCTGCACTTTTAAGTTCATTCTCAGGTGGATGCGATGGAGCGTTATCAATTAAGAAGGAAGTTGTGAAGATAGTTTTCCCCAGAAACTTGGAGCAATCGAACGCCATACCTCTTTTTGAAATTTTGGAGCCATCCATCACTGGCATTGAAATCAAGGCAATTTTCTTTAATTGTACAATGAAGCACCTTCACCTTTTCTTTTAACATCAGTCCGCTCACCGGGAGTTTGTTGTCCCTTATATGTAAAAACCATCTATACAACGATTTTTTAAATTTTGGATACTCTGATGGACGCATAGTTTTCCTTTTTCCAGGACCCATAAATGTATGGTTAACACATTTAAGGATAGCATTTTTATTTTTCTTTATTCCACATACTGTAGACTTTGCCACTCCATATTTAGTTGCWAAATTTGTAACACTTGCACCTTTTGTTTATTTTGTGTGCATGTTTCAAAATTATTTACATTTGATTATTTCTTAAGAAAATAAAGAGGCACTTATGCTTGCGTGCAATCACCAACCAAAAACACTTAAAAATTCTTACAGACGACTGACGTAGACAAAATCAAACCATGTAATGAGCACATGTAAACATTTTCGAGCGATGGGTAAACTAGGGATTTCCCCAAATTACAAAGCGCTTTAAATTCGTTATTGACAGCAATATTGTTCATATTTTAGAGCTTTTGTCCAAAGTTCATATTTTAGAGTAGTCAATGGTAGCCAACAAGTGTTCATATTTTGGGGGGTTCATAATTTAGGGTGTTCATATTATCGCGAGTCCACTGTATACAAATTTTCGATAGGAACCCATGCCGGTTGAGTGACGATAATTTTATATATGTACTAGCAGACCGCCACGGCTTGTCACGAGTATTAAACAATCATTTCAAAAGTTATATTTTTGTACACACCCTCCCACGCATACTTACTCGTTTTTGCGAGGAATCATTAAAAATTTGATAAGTAGCCTCGTCCCGTTGTACATGCTTGAAAGGCTTAAATTCCTCAAAAGCATAATTCCCATTTTTAATTTATGTGGTGGCAGTCCAGAGGGGTTAAAGGATTCAAAAACTTATGGGGATAATGGACTGCGTCTTCGATATTAGTCACGGTGTCTATCGATTTGCATTTTTTTATTTGTCGAGCAACTTTTTTAATAATTAGTTCGTTTATTTCTTTGACACTATAATTTCTGGGTGACACTATTGTCGTTGAACACAAGCAATGAAATTCCTTATTCTGATGAAGATTCTCCATCACGGCGTGTTTTTGATACTCTCGCCTGGAAGGTATTTCTAGAAAGTTGAGATCTAGATCTTTTAGGCCTTTTAAAATGAAAAAAAGTTAAACTGTACTAAATTATTTGCTTAAAATCTATAAAATCGTAATTGGAAAATGATAAGAACTACTTGAGTTGCTAAGCTTCTGGGATAGTTAAAAGTTACAATATATTATTTAACAAACTATTAAATTAGAACAAAAATGGATTTAATTCTGAAAATAACTTTGTTCATTTTGGACAAAAATTAACTTTTTTTTTGGGTTTAAATGAAGGAGATGCGCCGATGTCTGGAGGCCAACAAAAGGTGGGCAAACAAAATAATCAAATATCTAAAACTATTGTAATTATATTTTATTTATATAATCAATCACTAGTATGCCAACTTTTTTGATATGAATTAAGCGCATTGTTAGCTTGTGTAGGCTGTGGTTTTTTTTTTTTCTTTATTTGTGTAAACAAATATTTAGATAAGCCATATTTCCTGCCAAATACATATCTTTTGAAATAAACAGTTGAATTTCTATAACTCGAAATTCTCCATAACTCGAACTCTTAAATTGGCAATAGAAGTCAAATATCATACAAATCACCTTCCAAAAATCGAACTTTTTAATTAGCACGTGATCGCATTTTTTAGGGAAATCCCACTTTGTAAATAGCTAGTCACGTAGAAGTCGCCGCATCGTAGGTATCTCTTAAAATGTTACTATTACAGAATATATTGAGGTGGGCAATGAGATTTGCTGATATTTCAGACCAAACGTTTATGACTTCTAGCGCCATGGTAAATAATGAGGATTCTGAAGAAGAAATTACTGAAACACCCTCCAAAAATAATGTAACGCATTGCTTTGCAATTTTAAATTCATATTTACATAAATACAAATATGAATACAACTGACGATCACTACAAAGCACTAAACAGATAAGAATCGCTTTTCACTGAAACAAACAAACTTAAAATATATGTTCAGTCCAAAATTACAGAATATAATATATCGTCACATAAAATGCAAATATGTATATAAAGCCAATTTTGTGCTGGACGACTGATATTATATAAGTACAAATAAATCCGTCATTAAGCTTTTTACAGGCAATATGTAACTTCTGTGTTTGCACAAACATATTTATGCAGATAAAAATTGGTAATGCTGGTCGCGTATCATGTACAAATCTGTAAAATTCCACAAGGTCTTAGAGCATAAAACTAAATATTTTAAGTTTATTTTGTTACGTATTCAATACATACATATCTATATGTATGTTTGCACCCACAACCTATTTAGGTAAGTCAGAACACGTAGATAAAAAAAATTATCACGTTGATATTTTGAATATTGTATTGCTAATTTACAATATCCTTTTTAGGGCAACACAAATACTGGTAGCTATGTACATATAGCATAAGTATGTACATACATACATACGTGTCCATATATATAAGTTTATACAGTCGAGATCTGAAAGAATAGGGTTACGAAAACCACTTATTTTAAATTGCTCAAGTACTATGTCAATTTCAAGATACCCTAATTTTTTAAAGAAAAAACTCAGAAACTTTAAATTTAATGGAGAGTGCTTATTATTATTATTTGAAAAAACATTCTTTATCATTTATCTTTTGAAGGTTGAAGTGTTCTCTCAATAAATCCATTGTTTGATGCAATGTGTGGGAAGTGGCGCAGTCTCTTTGAAACCAAATGTCGCTGCGATCACAAGCATTCTTGAAGCAATAAGGACCGATAATTCCACCGTCCCACAAACCACACTAAACCGTGGTTTTTCTGCAGCTCCTGAGTCTCTTCAAGATGCTCTTGGACCCAAATATTGCTTATACATATACCAATGGGCCTCATCGCTGAACAAAATTTGGCTCAAAAACGTCGGATTTTTCACAGAGCGTGAATTTTCGTATTAAAGTTGAACGATTTGTAAACTTTCTTCAGGCGTTAGTCTTTCTATAATGAAGTGACAACCGATACGGAACAAAAAGAACATGTCAGGTTGACGCGACTCGCGAGTGATCTGTCAAAAAAGGGCATTTAAAAAAGTACCTCGACTTGGATCACCCTTTATTATTCATTGTCAGAGTTGGAAAAGGTTATACTATTAATCAGCTTTATTACTCATTACACAAATAAGTATTATCTTACTTTCTCTTTGAGTTGTCTGTTTCAAAAATATTAATAACAAGAAAAGACATGAACTTCGGTTGCACCGAAGCAAGAATACACTTCACAATTAAAGAAGTTGCTTTCGATCGGTAACATAACACTAATTTTATAGGCCGATTTATGTGTGTATGTTTTATACATTTTTTTATGTAATAACTAACGCTAAAATGGATTTTAAAGTTTGTATTTAATATTATGTTGGCTTTTAATATTTTGTTCTTTACCCTCACTTATATCATTTTGATCGCCACTGTACATACTACTGGCACGTTAAACTTAGACTGTATCTATACACAAAGATTTTTGTTGCTCAAACTGTTTGTTTGGCAAGTGGAAAGTCTGAGGGACAGTATCGCTCGTGCCCAATTTTCCGTAACAGTTCAAAGAATATGAGTGAATAATGTGTGCCAAAAATTATAGAACTTATATTTTAGAACATATTATAATTAATTTTAAAAAGTAGTAGTAAAAATATTTTCGTGTGAAAATGAAGCATAGCAGAATATGTATATTACATATATACTCGTAATGCATTAAACCACACCAAAAGGCAATCGCCTAATGATACACAACAAATGTTTTCGTGTGTAATCGCAGTCTTAAACGTTGGCTCAATAAACATTTCCTGTTTGCTTTTCTTCTAAGGCGCATAGTTTCAAATATAAGGAGATTGACAGTTTCTAGCAAAGTTGTCAAACGCTCATCCATCATCAATTGGGCTACATTAATTTCCTTGTCTAATACAAAAGCTGTGCAAAATATAAAAAAAATGTTTAAATATGTAAGTGTGTATATGTGCATATACCTATGTTAATACATTTGAAAATCTAAAGTGCTTATGTCAATTAATCTCAATATTATCTTATTGGGGTAAATATAAATCAGAGTAGTGATCCTGGTGCGAAAGTCAAATGCCCAATTCTTAAGACATACACGGAAAAATCTTCCATTGATTGTGAAAAACGTACAGTATGCAAATACATCCTTATTTTTAAATGAAATGTTGTGTACTATCTTGCATCAATCATCAAAATATTCGTCATGTGAAAAATATGTATATGATTGCGACAAAATTATTAGGAGAATTTTAAATTGATTATAATATTGAGTCAATAAAAAAGAAATACCACAGATTCTGAAAATTAAATTAGTAAAACGTGAAGTCGTGCTTTCACTGGAGGACATTAAGTTGAGAACATAAGGCAATACAAATAATTTGTTTTGAAACCAAATTTTTACAATAATGTCTCTTTTTTAATTTTAACCACATCACAGCTGGCCTATTTTTTGAACATAGAGTATGGTATTTGCAATTATATATGTATGTATGTATATTAAGACAAAAGCACGCCAAAATTGTAATTAAATTCAGTTTACTTTGCTAAATTGGTAGGACTGTCCTTAATTACTGTGATAATAAAATGCTTGCGGTGATTCAAGAACACAAGCCTACGACATACACTAAGCCTTCAAAGAAGGTCGAGAGATCGTTGAAGACATGCCTCGTTTTGGGCGATCTTCGACCTCTTCAACTGATGAAAATATTTAAAAAATTAAGGATATGGTGCTTTAAAATTGTCAAGCAGATGTTAGAGAAAGTGCAAGAGATCTCAATATCTCTCGTGAGTCCGCTCGAATGATGATGGTGGATATATCTGGAATGAAACGCGTTCTTGCACGAGTCGTCCTGATAAAGCTGAATATTTTTCAAAAAGTGTACGATTGTGACCGAATTTAAAGTCAAAAATGCAATAAATACCATCAATCAACCACCGTATTCACCAGATTTGGCTACGTCGGAATTTTTCTTGTTGCCCTAACTGGTAAAACAAAAATCCGCCGAAGGAACTGAAGGCCATCCCATAAAGTTCTTATGAAAAGAGTTCCGAGGACTTCGAAAAAATGGGATTACTTTGAAGGAACAAATTAAAAATTGATGAATAGTTAAATATTTTGCGTTTCATTTACAATTTCACAATCTAAGTGATTATACTTATTTGTATCAGGTTATTGTTGTATATTAATTTATTAGAACATTTTTAATTCATTGCAAGCTATAATCTAACACACTTTTTTATCAAACAGTTGACAATTTGCCTTCTTGCGCTTGTCGCCATGGCCACAGCGAAACCACAATGGTTAATATCACATCCTTATGCCGCTTCCGTAGCTGTTGCCGCACCATCGGCGGCTTTGTCAGTACCCTCGTATGTTGAACCTTACTATGCCTCATATTCTACTGTCCCGTGGTGGTCTTCATATGCCGCTTATCCATATGCTGGCTTCTATTGGTGAAGAATAAACTACCTACGAAAATATTTTTAATTTATACATACATATGTATGTATAATGCAAAATATACATACAAACGTACAATGCAATAATTTTTCACGATATATTGAAATCAATAAAAACTTTTCGAAATTAATCTTACCACATACACTGTTTGTATAATTACTTAAGTTTGCATAAGAAAGAATTTAGTATTTGGTTGGTTAACCGTTGGACTTAATAATACTCGTATGTCCAGGTTGTCGTGGTTATGTTCTCTACTAGGTTTTGTGTGGTTGTGTGGCCGAAATTTGGTTGCACTCTTTTTAAAAGGCCTTTTTAACTCCTTATTTTATATCACGCTTTGGTATTTGTCATTCCAGTTGCTCATATACATACACATTCCGCGGTAGTGCGATTTTAAGCTGTGTGCGAACCTAATTCAAAAACCAGGCTTCCGCACTTAAAGGGCTATACCAGTGTGACGCATGCAAAATTAGACGATTTTCGTGATTTTTTTGAGAGAAAGTACGTGATTGAATATTTCGAACTTCTATAGACGTAATAAAGTATATTTTCAGCTATTTTTTAAGATTTTTTTTTACAAAAATGTTCAAACGGAGTTATGGACTGTTTTCGAAGGGGCCAAAAAAAAGTGCCCCAAATCTAACATGATTTCGGCCGAATGAGTAGCTAAATTAAAAAATTTTTAAAAGTTTATTAAACTTAAAGATATTTTCTATAACAATGACCTACGATCTTTGAAAAATATCAAAAATTAACAAAATGGCGTAATTTGAAAAAAAAAATCGTTTTTTTAGGTAAAAAATGGTCATTTTTTTAATGCCAAATTGACAATTTTCAACCAATCAAAAAGATCATATCTCATTATATAGCAAATGTATTCAAAAATACTCAGTTTTAATTTGAAGTCGATCGGGCAATTTCTCGTTTAGTTATGATGTCAGCAATTTTGAAAAATGTTGTTTCGCGAAAAACGCGTTTAAAGTTTCGTTTGCACCTCTGAGCGGTGGCTCTTTAGAACGCTGCAATTCAAAAACACGCAATGAAAGCAATGAAAATTATTCCATTTCAACCAAACGAAGGCTTGGCGTTCTGTTCTGCATTCTTCTGATTCACCTTTACCACGTTGTTGAAGGTTGTGTCTTAGAAGTACATTCCTATAATGACCCCTACAATGAAACTTAATCCCCTCTTTGGTAAAAATATAAATTTTTTAGTCTGTTCGCCATCCATACTGCCCCAAAGTACTTTTGTAGCATGCGCTTGTAGGCACTCATTTGTCTGTCATATCCTTCTATTCCTAAATGATTTTTACGAAGTTATATACAGAAAGTCTAATTATTGGAAGCCCTATATTCAATGTATTCTCTTCATTATACTATGTGTGTATAATAACCTATAGATATTTCACAGAGTTCAAGTAAATATAAATAGTACAGATAGTACAGCCTGGAAATCCAACGCAGGATAACTCTTGCCAATAGGTGCTTCGAACTGAATAGGCAATTGAGAAGCAAAGTCCTCTCTCGACAAACAAAAACCAAACTCTATAAGTCACTCATAATTCCCGTCCTGCTATATGGTGAAGAGGCTTGGACGTTGACAACAACAGATTAGTCGACGTTGCGAGTTTTCGAGAGAAAAGTTCTGCGAAAGATCTATGGTCCTTTGCGCGTTTTTCCACGGCGAATATCGCATTCGATGAAACGATGAGCTGTATGAGATATACGACTATGACTAGGTCATGTTGTCCAAATAGACGAAAACACTCCAGCTCTGAAAGTATTCGCTGTACCTGCCGGGGGAGGCAGAGGATGAGGAAGACCTCCACTCCGTGTCTCTTTTTTACCAAATTTGTTGATTAACATTTTCTTGGCATTATGTTAGAATTTGCCATTTTACAATCTAGAAATTAAGTATAAAAAAAAAGAGTGGAACTGATAATATTGCAAGATCTGTGTCTGCCTATCCGTCCACTCTTCTATCCGTACAAGCGATAACTTAAGTAGAATTGAGATGATCTTATTACACATTTTCCTTGGCACCCAGAGCGGTTAGTATTGTAGTATTGACGATGGGCGAAATCGTACCATTGCCACACGAACAAAAGGCAATTAACCAAAAACCTATAAAAGCACTAAACTAAGATACATAACTGTAACGTACAGAAGATTGCAGTAGCCAGAGACACTTGTGGACTAGAAAGTTTTTAATAGTGGATATGACCTCGCTCTTAAATGGTTTAATGTACATACATATGTACATACAATCAAACATAAAACAAAAAGCTTTTTTTCGTGATCAATGATGATACACCATCAGTCAACGTGTTAAAATAAATATTGTATGTGTTCGGTACTTAATTTTTCAACCTAACTATCGATGACAACACAGTTCTAAAAGGTTATAGCCGAGTTAACAACAGCGCGCCAGTCGTTCCTTCTCTTCGCAAGGTGGCGCCAATTGGAGATCAAGAGCGAAGCCAGGTCCTTCTCCAGAATATGGTACCTTCTCTGTTTAGTTCTGCAGCTCAGGTTGAAGAAGTCACACGGAAGTGAGTCGCCTTGTCTGAAACCCCGTTTGGTATCGAACGGCTCAGAAAGGTCCTTCCCGATCCTGACGGAGCTTTTGGCAGCCTTATTACTTGTGCGGGGATACCAAATTCAGACATCGCGGGCATAAAGACAGCTACTTTTCGTGCTGTCGAAAGCACCTTTGAAATCGACAAAGAGGTGGTGTATGTCGATTCTCTTTTCACGAGTCTTCTCCAAAATTTGGCGCATGCTGAATATCTGGTTGCAAGTTCATTTTCCAGGTCTAAAGCCACACTGATGAAGTTTGTTTGTCGGAGGGCTTTAATCTTTCACACAACACGCTCGATGGAACCTTATACGCGATGTTGAGGAGGCTTATCCCATGCTAGTTGGCGCAGATTGTGGGGGTCTCCCTTTTTCTGGAGAGCACACTTAAATTCCAATCGTTGGGCATGCTTTCGTCCGACCATATTTTACAAAGAATCTGATGAATGTTCCTTATCAGTTCTTCGGACTTCTTCATTGTCGGGCAATGAAACGTGTGCTCCATCAGTCATCGATTGAGGCTCCGAGTTCTCCTTCTCCTGGCATTATACTTTCATCGTCATTCATCAGGCTGGAGAAGTATTCCCTTAATAGTATGCTGTGAGCATCGGTTCCTAGATCACCTCTGAGGGTTCTACAACAGTGTGCTCAGTTCTTGAAACCTTCTGTTAGTCGCTGCATTTTTTCGTAGAATTTTTCATCTCGCACGTGTTGTGTTCGATTTTTTCTATACTGTGACATACAATTCCCTTATAATGAGTTGTTGATGAGTACTATCAGAGAACAGGAGTGCAAGTCGAGTAGAAAAGCGTTCCGCTATCTGTTGCAGCTTCTTGGCGCCGAACCTTCTTTGTGTTTGTTTTTTCGTTTTTTGCTGCACGGATAGAAACTTTATTTAAAAGTATTTACTGTGTATTATTTAAGTTTTTTATGCAACTTATTAACCCGTCGGACGTCCGCATCGATTTACAACTTCAAACGGGTTTTCGTTGAACCTAGGTTGAACCTACAAGCCTGCTTTTCACCTCAATTGTTATTTGTTTTTTTTAGGCCGTAAGGAGAGTTTAAAATGCCTTCGCTCCATGTAGGGATCGCCATCCTACGTGAGTGGTGTACCCACTAAAACACTCCCCCCTTCTATCATGGAATTTTTTCCCTACCCGTTTTTTGTTTTTTTTTGCTTTGAAACATCGGTCTTCGTTGAATGCATCTAAGGACCTAGTTATGTTCGTACGTCTCGTATCCCTCCTGCCTTTATCCAGTTTGGGGCAGGCTACCGATAATATCGAAGAGTTCGACTAGCTCGGATATCCCATTTTTTACATCGGAGTTTATATTCTTCTGTCTAACCATTGCCAACTTCATCTTTTTCAGGGTAGCTCGGCACTTTAAAAGGGCTTCATCCTCTTCTGCTCTCATCTTTTGAATGAATTCTTGCCTTGGAGAATTGTATCCATTTCATAGGCCTCGGTCGGTAGCCGGAGTCATCATTTCCCATCTGTGGCGTAGAGCACAAAATTTTGCTTTGTCTTCTGAAGGCATTCAATTCGTCGTCCATTCGCCCTTTTTGATTTTGTTGTGGTATGTTGTTTTCTTTGCTCATGTTGATGTTGTAAGGGTCCCCGCTTCAAACCGCTATCTTAGCTCGATTGTACAGTCGCATTTTCGGTCCATATGGTTATCTTTGCATTGCAGGGAGGCCACACGGGGATTGACACGAAACCTTATACGAACTCGTGTTCAGAGCCAGAACCATAGCACTAGTCGGGACGGAGGCGCCTATGACATTACCCTGAAAGCCATTTCTCCAAGATGTTACTCTTGCATCAGGTAACAGAATGCCACGGCCGTCAGCCCAAGTTCAAACGTTTAGAAATAGTGTATCAAAATCGTGGTCCTACTTCGTTGCGTGTTTTCTTGCGTTGTCATCTGTGCTGCGCTCTTTAGTCGGGGGCTGTATTTGTTATTTACAGCTAACCTGCATTTCTCAGGTTTGCTATCTGCCATCTGCATTTACAGTTGGGAATTTCTTTTTCTTACGATTTCCGTTGTAGCATCCCTCTTCGTTATGTTGCCTCCCTCTCATGGATAGTTGATCCCTCGAGACAGCCCTCCATGGGGTTGTGGATGCTTATTTTGAGGCGGCATCTATTCACCTCGTCACGGGGGATTCGTAGGATGATTCAGGTATTTTAGGCCGAACCCACCTCTCCTGTCGCTCTTGGTCAGGGACTGCTTATTGGGTATTCGCAGCTAACCTAAGAACTTAGGCCCCCAAGTTGTGACTTTTGGTGGCCTCAGCTCAGCCTGAATTGTTATATCAGACCATTCTTTAATTATCACGTTTTTGAGCTGTTGTGTACTCGATTTGTGTTTTCGTATTTTTCTTTCTAAAAGAACCCATAAATGCTCTATCGGTAAATACACATATACATACATATATGTGTATTAGGATATACATAATATAAATAAGCATGTATTTTCGAAGTTTCGGCTGTCTTTATACCG